ACACTGACGCCGGCCCGGTTCACTCTGCTGAGACTGAGACACTGACACCGGCCCGGTTCACACTGCTGAGACTGAGACACTGACGCCGGCCCAGTTCACTCTGCTGGTGCTGAGACACTGACACCGGCCCGGTTCACACAGCTGAGACTGAGACACTGACACCGGCCCGGTTCACACTGCTGAGACTGACACACTGACTGATCCAGTTCACACTGCTGGTACTGATACTGAGACCGGTCCAGTTCACACAGCCGGTCTGGCCCTGCACTCCCCGCTCTTCCTCGCTGACCCGACGGGCTAGGTCCGGGGTGACCCGCTGACCCACTGGGGCAAACCGGGCCGCCTGGGCTGGACTCCTCTCTCAGCGACTGCAGCCCGACCTCCGTGCCCCGACCCGCTCTGCTCCGTGTGGGAATCCCCTGTGCTGCCCACAGGGAAGGAATGCATTGCGATTAGAGGGCAGGAGCACATTCCTCAGCTGGGAAAGAGGAGGAGGAGGAGGGGTGCAGAGCTCTGTCCTCTCTCCTTCTCCGGCTCTCCCTCGCTCCCTCTCTTCCTCCCTCCCGAGCGCAGGGGCTGCCAAGACAGCCAGCAGGAGTGGAATGCATGTGGGCTGTTTCCCAGGGGACAGACACTGCCGGGGCTGCACCTCCCCCTGCTGGCGAAGGGCTGTCACAGCACCGGCCCAACAGCGGGCTTCCTGATCTCCCACACTGCCGCCAGGGCCAGGAGGGATATTTCTACAGGGATGTCACTCCCAAGGGCTCTTAGGAAAAGTATCTAGCATGTATTAAATATAACGCCTTTCATCCCATTTGGCCAGTCTGCACCAGCAGCCCCACCTGGGAGACACACAGTGAACAACCTGCACCAGTAACCCCCCCTGGGAGACACACAGTGGTCATTCTGCACCAGTAACCCCACCTGGGAGACACACAGCGATCATTCTGCACCAGCAGCCCCACCTGGGAGACACACAGTGAACAACCTGCACCAGTAACCCCCCCTGGGAGACACA